AAGTGCTTTATCTTCAGTGTCACTAATTTTGACTTCTCCTGCCTCAATTCTGCTCCTGTGACTTTTATTGAGTTGTCTAATTCTGAAATTTTATTGTTAAATCTTCTGGATTTCTGATTTCTGTCTCTCTGTGGATTCTTGCAGCCTATTAAATTTGTCATTATGTTCTTGAATAACTTTTTAAATTTCTTCTAGTACTTTGTCTGTGTGTTCTTTGGCAGTGTCTGCATTTTGACAAATTTCCTTTCTAATTACTAGAAGAGTTCTGTATATTAATCTTTTGTATTCTGCCTCTGGTAATTCCGAGAAATTCTTTTCCTCCAGAGAATTTATTGATTCTTTATTTTGGGAGCTTGCTGAAGCCATCATGGACCGCCTCTTTATGTGATTTGATATTGCTGTTGTCTCCGAGCCATGAATAAGTTAATATAATTTTATTTTATGTTTGTTTAGTGTGTCCTAGCTTCTTGTTTTGTTTTGATATGCCCCAATAGGCTGCTCATGTGCTCTAGTTTGATTTTTGGTGCCTTTGAAGCGCTAATGTCCTGTCACCAGGTAGTTAGTTCTGTAACTAAGTATGTGCACACAGAAGTCCGTTAAATTTTCCTGTATGGATTCAGGTCAGGTGTCCAGGCAGTCTGTTACCAAGTGTGTGGTGCAGGCGCTCACCTACAGTCTTAGAGAGGCATGGGTGATTGGTGTAGGCACAGGTATCTGGTTGCAGTAGTGGGTCATGAGCTGAGCAAGGCAAGGGGCTGACCGCTGCCTCTGAGTGTCTGACAGGAAAGTGTGTCCCTATTCCCTAGTTCGAGTAGGTAGGTAAGTTTTGCAGCCGGACTGTAAGCACCCTACTCTGTTGGTTGTAAAGACTCGGGGTCACCACTTATTCTTGCACCCCTGTAGCAGGTGACTAGGTGGCGTAGGTGGAGCCACCAGTCCTCAAGCCCCTGATGCTGACAAGTAAAAGTGCTTGCTTGAATGGCAGGGCTGTTTCAAGTGTCACAGATCTGCCACTTCACAGCTGAAATAGTTGGCGTTAGACTTCAGGTGTTTTACCCTGTTTTACTGTGGTAGTGAGGGCTTATGCTGTTGAGATGGGTCTGCACAAGTCTATATAGGGGTGGAAGGCACTCAAAGTCTGTGGACCCCTTATGCCTGTACCTAGCAAAGGAGCTGTGCCAACCCTGAGTTCCTGGCTTAGGGGAGTCAGTAACTTATTTTTTCCCCTATTTGTTAATTTGTTCCCTCTGCAAGGCCAGGGGAATGTGTCAGGGTGCCTTATGGGATCTACTTCTGGCCCAGGGGACTCAGAGACTTGGGAAGCCGGCTGGACCAGTGCAGAGCAGGGAGGGAGGAGGTAAAAGGGAGAGAGGTTTTTCCCAAATGGGCTTCTTTTTTTTTTTTTAAATCCCTGCGAAAGGCCACACACATGCACTTATCTTTAGCCACTTGGGAGCTGCTTTTCACTGGTTCAGAGTGTCCAGGCAGAATCTCCGCTGCTGGATCTCTCTCGATGGTGGAAACTACCTCCAGAGTGCGTGCGTGGAGCTGTTTGCGTGGAGCTGTTTGCCTGCTTCACTGCGTACCTGGAGCCCTGCGGGGCTGAAGAGCTGCGGCTCCTGCTGCAGGTCTGGCACTCCTCTCCCTTCTTCCTAACCCCCCCCCGCCCCTGCCACTCAGTCGAATTCCTCAACTTTGCCTGTTCAGGGCTCCTAGGTACTCATACACAATCAAATCATTTGTTTTTCCAGGTCTGTGTTGTAAGAGGGATATAGGAAGCTGTCTGACTACTCCACTATCTTGGTCCACTGGATCCAAATAAAGAATCTTATTAATGGGGATTACTATGTATTAATTCATTTAACAAATCTTGTTAAGTACCCGTGCTGTGCTAGACACTGTTCTTTATACTGCTGATACAACATTGAACAAAATAAACACTATCCCTGCCTTTTGAGTTTACATTCTACTAGATAGTCAATAATCAAGATAAATAAGTAAAGTTTATGTTAGATGGTGATAAGTGCTCTAAGGTGAAAAAAAAAATCAGGTGAGAGAGAGAATTTGAGTAGGAAGTTCTTTCTAATATTTGAGAACCTTGCTTAAAAGGAGACTTGAACAGAGGAACACACATGAAGGAGAGGAGGAGCCGGATATGCAGAGCATTCGTGTTAGAGGAAACAGCAAATATAAAGGCCCTGTTGTTAGCTGCTTTTAAGTCAACTTGTGGCGACCCCACGCACAGTGGAACAAAGCATTGCCCAGTCTTGTGCCACCCTCGCGACCTGTTGTGGATTGGACCATTGTGATCCATAAGGTTTTCGTTGACTGATTTTCCAGAAGTAGATCACCAGACCTTTCTTCTTAGTCTGTCTTAGACTGGAAGCTTCGCTGAAACCTGTTCATCATCATAGCAACACGCAAGCCTCTGCTGACACTTCTGCCACTGAACCACTATTGCCTTCATAAGGGCCCTAAGCATGGTAAAGCGTTTGGTGTGTTCTAGAAACAGCAAGGTTAGTGTGACTAGAGTCAGTGGATGGGGGAGAGGAGTATGAGATGAATACTGCAGCGTAGTATGTGGGGTGGGTGTGAGTGGTCTTGCAGGCTATTGGAAGGACTTGACCTTTTACTTTTAGTGAACCAGAAAGCCATTGGAGGATTTTGAGCAGAGGAGTGATAGAGTCTAACTTGGCTTTACAGGATTACTCTGCCTGCCTTATGGAGAAGAGACTGAGGTGGGGTGAGGGAGGAAGCGAGGTCAGGATGCATTCAAGTTCAGTGGAGAAGTCAGAGTTGGAGGGAGAAATTTAGGAGACATCAGAGAATGGATTATAGTTAAGGTTGCGAGTTGAGATGAGATTATCAAGAGAGTTCACTCCTAATTTGTTCTGCCAGGCATGTGCAAAGCACTTGACATTGCATTGTGCCATTTATTGACTGTGTAGATACTCTAACTGTATTCTTTGAATTTAACACCTCTTTTCTATGATTCAGAATCGACTCGATGGCAGTGGGTTTTTTGGTTTTGTTTTCTACATTAACATTTGTGAAATTTATGTATATGAATCGAGACACATGCATTTAATAGATTTTTTCCTCCAATTCCCTTACAAAACAAGGTATAATTGAATAGTTGGTTCTTTTTAAAAAAATATTTATTACCTTAAATGTGTTGTTATTGTTGTTGTTGGATGCCATTGAGTTGGTTCCAGCTCAGAGCAACCCTATATACAACAGAACGAAATGCTGCCTGGTCCTGTGCCATCCTCACAGTCGTTGCTATGTTTGCGTCCATTGTTGCAGCCGTTGTGTCAGTTCATCTTGTTGAGCGTCTTTCTCTTTTTCGCTGATCCTCTACCAAGCATGATGTCCCTCTGCAGGGATTGGTCCCTCCTGATAACATGTCCAAAGTAAATGAGAAGCCATCTTTGCTTCTAGGGATCATTTTAACTGTACACCTTAAGTGTAGGAAATACAAAATTTCTCCTCTTTAGATGTAGAAACACATTTAAATGTTCTAAAACTCGCCAAAGTAGACACAGCTGGTATGAGGTAGATTTAGAATTCCAACTCAGTCTTCCTGACTCCAAAGCCCATGTTTTTAAACACTGCACAATGATCCTTTTGCAAAAATACGTGTCCTTTTTCCTAGTGATTAATAGTTGGAGGGTTTTTTGTTCGTTTGTTTTTTAGCATTGTACAAATATTTATTGATTGAAAAAGGAAATTTTTTGTAGTTTGCCAAGGGTTTGGAAAATAAGAAGGCTAGGATAATTATTTAAGTAACTAGCCTAGCTTTTGAGATCAGTTACAATAGTGTTACATTTTTAGGGATTTGATGGAGGGCTTGATTAATGGAGCAAAATTTCCTGGAAGACTTGACGTTGGAGTTTTTTTTTTTTTCAATTGTACTTTAGGTGAATGTTTACAGAACAAATAGTTTCTCATTAAACAGTCAGTACACATATTGTTTTATGACATTGGTTAACAAACCCGCGACATGTCAACCTTCTCCCTTCTTGACCTTTTTTTTTTTTTTTGGTGAAAATATGCATAGCCAAAGATGCACCATTTCAAAAATTTCTACACCCACAATTCAGTGACATCGATTACGTTCTTCCAGTTGTGCTGCTATTCTTACTTTAGATGAAGGTTTACAGAATAAAATAGTTTCTCATTAAACAGTTAGTACACCTGTTGCCCTATGACAGTGGTTAACAACCCCACTACATGTCAACACTGTCCTTACTCAACCTTGAGTTCCCTATCACCAGCTTTCCTGTCCCCTTCTGCCCTCTAGTCCTTGTCCCGTTTTGTTTTATGGGGCTGTCCAGTCCCCGGCTGAATGGTGAACCTCGAAGTGACTTCATCACTGAGCTAAAAGTGTGTCTGGGGGCCATACTCTCGGGGTTTCTCCAGTCTCTTTCAGGCCAGTAATTCTGGTCTTTTTTTGTGTGTGTTTCAATTTTGTTCTACATCCTTCTCCAGCTCTGTCTAGAACCCTCTGTTGTGATCCCAGTCAGAGCAGTCAGTGGTGGTAGCCGGGCACCATCTAGCTGTACTGGACTCAGTCTGGTGGAGGCCTTGGTAGCTGTGGTCCATTAGTCCTTTGGACTAATCTTTTCCATGTATTCTGTTCTCTTCATTCTCCCTTGCTCCCAAAGGGGTGAGACCAGTGGAGTATCTTAGATGGCTGCTGTTGGAGCTTTTTTAATTTAACTTTTTTTCTTTTAAACAGGAGAGATCATCATCATTGTAGTGCAAAACTATGATTTTGGAGTCACATAGATCTGATTTTGTAATCATAGATTTTAAGCTGTCATATATTCTCTTTCGGTCTTAATATCCTTATCTGTAAAATATGAATTAAATAAGATAATGCATTTTACTGTACTTACTGATGTAGTGTGTTTGTACTTAGGTGGCAGTTTATATAAAGGAAGCCCTAGGACTTGTTGTGGCTGTACCCTCCAAGCATTTAAAAAAAAAAAAAAAAAATGGAACAACCCTCTATGCTATGTGAGGAAGAACAAGAGCCAGAACCACAGAAAAGTGTAAAGGAAACCAAACAAGTGAATGATGAAGATGCTGAACTGATCTTTGTTGGGGTGGAACATGTAAATGAAGATGCTGAGCTGATCTTTGTTGGTGTCACTTCAAATTCAAAACCAGTCGTTTCAACCATTTTGAACAGAGTCACCCCAGGTTCGTATTCAAGGAGGAAAAAGTATGGTCACCTCAGACAAGATCCTGCTTACAGTATCTGGCAACCTTCAAGTCATATGACCCCTACATCAAAAGTGGTGGCTGTCTCACCAGTTTCTCCATCTGAATCGAGATCAACAGATAGTCCTATTATTATTGAGCCCTTGTCTAATCCCGATTATAAAAATAACTCACCACAAGTTGAGCCTAATAGCGCTTCAGAGGTGTGCTCTCCTTTGATTAGGTTCACAAGTACATTGCAGCATCCAGGAGGAGCAGCACTTTCTGTAGGAGATGTGAATGAAGGGCCTTGTGTATCAAAGGAGCTTTTCACTTCTGCAGTGAATGGCATAAATCCCAAAAGGCCTAAACTCAGTGATGGAATCCTAGGGAGACATTCTTTAGCCTTGTCCCCCTCAGGTATCTCTCCTGCAAGGAACATGCAGCAAAATACACCCCCAAAAGGTGTTAATACCTCAGTAAGCCGTGTTCAGAATGGAGCACCTTTTCCAACAGCTTTTCCGAAGAACAGTGCCAATTTTAAGACTATAAATCCAGATAGGGAAAATTGGGGACTGGCAAAAACAGACTTTTCAAGAATAGCAAGTGAAAACAAGACTTTTGATTCCCAGGAAGGAAATCTCATCGTGTTACTTCATGACTTCTACTATGGACGTTATGAAGGAAATGGGCAGCCAGAACAGAAGACTCACACAAACTTTAAATGCCTCAGCTGCCTGAAAGTTCTAAAGAACGTGAAGTTTATGAACCACATGAAGCACCATTTGGAACTCGAGAGGCAGAGGAGTGACAGCTGGAACAGCCACACCTCCTGCCAGCACTGCTATCGGCAGTTTCCCACTCCCTTCCAGCTGCAGTGTCACATTGAAAGTGTGCACATCGTCCAGGAACCCTCCACTGTTTGTAAAATCTGTGAGTTGTCATTCGAAACAGACCATGTTCTCTTACAGCACATGAAGGACATGCATAAGCCTGGTGAAATGCCCTATGTGTGCCAAGTTTGCAATTATAGATCATCGGCCTTTACTGATGTAGAAACCCATTTTAGAACCTGCCATGAAAACACGAAGAATTTGCTTTGTCCATTCTGTCTCAAAATTTTCAAAACTGCAGCACCATACATGTGTCATTATAGGGGGCACAGGGAAAAGACTGTTCACCAGTGTTCCAAATGCCGACTACAGTTTTTAACTTTCAAGGAGAAAATGGAACATAAGACTCAGTGTCATCAAATGTTTAAGAAGCCTAAGCAACTAGAAGGATTGCCTCCTGAAACAAAAGTTGTTATTCAAGTGTCACTGGGACCTCTTCAACTGGGATCAGTGGAAGTAGCATCCATTACTGTAAGTACATCTGACTCTGAACCATCACCCTTTGGTCTAAAAAAATTGCCAGAAAAAACCATTAATTCTAGTTTCTGTAAATCTAAAGTGTTTCAGTCCAAGGCAAAAGCCCCCATTAAAAAGTACAAACCACACATTTGTCAGTAGCACCAAATGAATAGAAACCAATGAATCATTCATGATTTTTTTAAAATTCATGATATGCAATATTGTTTGGTCTGAAGTATTATTTTAAAATATATCGTCTGATTTTCATGTAACTATATCTGACTTGGAAACCCCGGTGGCGTAGTGGTTAAGAGTTCAGCTGCTAACCAAAAGGTCAGCAGTTTGAATCCACCACGTGCTCCTTGGAAACCCTATGGGGCAGTTCTACTCTGTCCTGTGGGGTTGCTATGAGTTGGAACCGGCTCGACGGCAGTGGGTTTTTTTTTTAATATCTGGCTTAACAAATGAAAGTGTTTATGTGTGTATGTGAGAGAGAGGAAAATATATATATTATTTTGGTATTTCTTGTTATGCCTAAGCTTGAAAGTTCTTATTTCTGTATATAGAATCTGTAGGGTTTTCTAAATACTCAATTTTATTTTCAACTTTTTCCGTGTGTTGAAGATTTCAGTATTAACTCTAGTCTGACTGGAATGGCTTTGTTACGGGGTGAGGCCTGGCCCTGTTTGCTGCTGAACTCCCAGAAGTGCCTCTGCTGTGCTTGCCCAAGATAAGCTAGTTCTGAAAGCCTGGGTGTCCAGAAGCTGATGAGAAGCTTGGCATGAAGGGGCTCAGGTAGGCAGTGCTTAGCGAGAAGCAGTGGCTCCTTGTCCATTTGAGGGAGAGGCACATGTTCATTTAGGTTTTGGAGCCAATATAGAAGGAACACGGAAAAGTATGTGTATGTGTATACATATATATATGTGTGTGTGTGTATATATATATATGTATGTATATATATTTAACTATCTTTAACCCAAGAACATAAAAGGATGCAAAACCATTCAAAGTAAATGATATGAAAGTCCCTGGGTGGTACAAACGATTTGCACTTGACTGGTAACCAAAAGGTGGTGGTTTGAACCCACCCAATGGCACCGGCGAAGAAACAGGCCTGGCCATCTGCTTCTGTAAAGATTACAGCCAAGAAGACCTAAGGAGAGTTCTATTCTGTAACACATAGGGTCTCCAAAGTCACAAACCAACAACAAAAATAAAATGAACAATAAAGTAAATGGTTTGAGAGGGGGTTGTGTATTTTTTACAATGGGCTCCTACAGATACCAAACAACTGCTGTGTATCACTGGCTTCAGATGAAGCAGCAGCAGAAGTTAATATAATGGGGCCTGGCACCAGTGGGTCTCCTCTGTTGAGTGATCCCAAGGGTATACTCATTCATCCCCTCCCCCTCTTCTGCTTAGCCTTTGGTGGAGAGTGAATTGGCCACATTCCTCTCACTCTGCAGGCAGTTAGAACAAGTAAAGTTTCTAAAGAAAGGAGCCCTGACTCCCATAGTTTGAACTGGTCTGAACCCATTGTTTTAACTGAAAGGGACCAAACAAATGGTATCTGCCCAGTTCATGGACTGGATTAAGTTTAGTTTCCCACTGGTAAGCTGGAATGGGGCTTGCCCAAGAACAGTAGATAGAACGGACAAAAATATAAAGCCCAAGATGACTGACTAAACTCATAGGGCTTTTCCTTATATTTTTCCATGCACGTGTATCTTATTCTAATTGAACATGTAACGCATACAATTTTGTGTCTTGTCTTGAACGTGAATGTATTACAGTTAACAGTTATTCTCTTATATGTGTGTATAATTTCCATATTTATCAAACTGATACTGAGTTTGGGTCTTGACACACGCTAGTGTGCAAGAAATATCCCATTTATTTCAATAAATATTAAGTCTTAGAGTTACTATGCTTCAGCACTGTCAGGAATCTACTCTGTCTCTATACTATAGGGAAACCACTTCTGCTTGCCCTCCCCAAGAGCTCTTTCACAGAACTGGGGAGGGCCCTCTGATTATTGGTTCATGAGTATCAGCAGCCTTGTCTGCTTCTGTGGTTCCCAGGGTTGAGTCTCCCTAGGTATGTTCTAGTGCCATACCCACTTCCCCCACCCCCGACCAAGGTGCCCAGCAGCCCCTGTGTACCACTCAAGGAATCTGGGATTCTGGCTCTAGACTTAGGCCTGGAGAAATCTTTCTTATTCCCCTTGCTTTCTCCTCTTCCTTAAAGACACCTTACCTGTCTCCACTCCTTTCTTCCCTCCCTAATATAGTTCACTTTCCTGGACGTTCACAAAAAGCTGGGAAGATAAACACCAAGGGTTTAGCTTCCCTCTGAGAATCCAAGGAAGAGGGACTACAGATAACAGAGTTGGTGTTTTGAGTATGTTGTGTACATTTGAGATAATTGAGTGTAGATTCTGTTTTATTTATTTGTTCAATACTTGGTTGATTGATTTGCACCTTAGACGTTTTACTAGGCCTTGCAGTTTGCTTGGGCCAAGGCACTTTCCTAAAATTTCAGCCTGAACCCTTTGTTTAGGTGTAGAAAGATTATTTTCCCCTAATTATTTGGAAACCACTGTGTCTCTTCTACTTGTTCTGCTCTCAGGTGGAAGCTCCTACTGTGTATAAATAGATCTACAGACTTTTGCATGCTTTTATTCCTTATGTCAGTATCTGTGTTTCTGTGGTTGCTTAGTATTATAACACTATTACTGTTGTTTGCTACTTTCCTGATGCATACTCTTAGGGCGTACAAATTGTCTTTCATTGCCAACTACAGGTTCCAGTAATCTGACCCCTGCCTACTTCTCATTCTCTGCCATGCTTCTCTCTTACTCTCCCCAGTGGTGCACTATTTTCCGACACACTGGCCTTGCTTTTCCTCAAGCAAATCACACTTCTCTATTCAGAGACTTTGAATGCTCTTCCCCTAGGCCTGCATGGCTTGCTACCTCACTTAATTGTTCAACGCTTCCATTGCTTCATTGAGCTTCAGCAGTGTCCTTATAATGACGCTAGCAGTGAAGTCTGTCTTTTACCCTTACTTTGTCCTCCACTTTAAGGGCACTTTACCTCTCCCCACTCCTTTCTTCTCTCCCCAGTCTAGTTACATTTCCTGAACTTTCACAAAAAGCTGAAAGGAGATGATCATCAAGGGCTTAGAACTAAGCTAGCTTGAATCAGTTTCTGTGCCTGCAACCAAAAGAAAATTAATATAGTGAGTTCTTTCAGAAGCTTTCTGTTTTTCTATTGATATCGCCGTATTTTTTAATGCAGTGTCACTGTTTTGTTTACAAATGTATTGAATATTGAATATCTGTCAAGATTACTATTTTGTTATTATCCTTCTCTTTGTCTATTTTGCTTGCTTGTTTTTTCAGGTAAAATTTATTATTTTATTAATGTTGCCAGAATTGTAAGTAAAATAGCAATGATAATAATAAAATGTTTTGTGAATAAAATATTGTTTTTCCATCAATGACAAGGCATGTTTTAAGGTTTTTTTTTTTTTTCATTTTTTATTTAGTGCCACTATGTAAACTCTTTGCCTTCCTACCAGTTATGTTTATTTTCAGTCCTACTGAATTGGTCACAACTTCCAAACAATTATAAGTATGATGGAGTTAATTGGCCTTTTAAAAAGTACCTGGTTGTAATGAGAAATTCTTTGCCATTAAAGATAATGAGTATATTGCTTACAAAATTAACTTTCTATTTCTGTTTTAGAATCTTTAAAGAGAATATTGCTTAGTTTTATTGGATAGTTGACAACATCTCTTCAGATAATCATTTAATTTTTCTTTATTAACCTAAGGTTTTGCTTGGCTGCATTCACAAATTTTCTATTAGAAACCTTCCTTTCCTGAAGCAAAAGTAGCCCCACTTGGGGTAGAACATTGGTCTCACTACTCAGAATCTCATTCTCTTTCTCATTTCTACCATTGACGCTCGTTTCCTCTTCCCCTCATTAGATTTGTCACAGTTTTTCTATGTTTCTGATTGACTTTTTCCAAGGAACAGCCTTTGGTTTGATTTATTATCCCAACTAGTTTTGTTTTTGTTGTTCTCTAGTTTTATTTTTATTCATTATATTTCTTCTGCTTTCTTTAGGATTGTTCTTTTTATAAGCTTTTATTGTAAAAGCTTTATTTTTCTTTAATAAAATAGGATTTAAGACCTTGACTACCTCTGTGTACAGCTTTGACTGAATTCCAAATATTTTGATGCATATTACTTTCATTTTCATTAAAATTTTCACCCCCCCATCTCTCTCTCTATATATATGTATATGTATTTTGGCAAGTTTAAAATTCTAAAGATTTAGACTTTTGCATGCTGAACATTTTAGTCTTTATAGTTTTACTGAGAATTAAGTTTTCCTTGGATTTTTGAGTGTGTGTTTACACTTACATGTCTGTGTAATTATTATTTTCAAATTACTAAATGGATCATTGATAAAAGGATATATTTTCTATATCTGTGATAAAAATATGAAATATGTTTTAATTATTTCTTCTAAGACTCTATCCCAAAAAAATGAATCTCTTATAAAAGGTGGATGGAAATATTTATTTGAGAGTAATTTCTGGTAACAAAACTTGGAAACCAAACTGTAGATCAGTCAAAGAAATTGTTAAATACATACCCACTATACACAGTTTTGGAGCCCTGGTGGCACAGTGGTTAAGAGCTTGGCTGCTAACCAAAATATTGGCAGTGTGAATCCACTAGCCACTCGTTGGAAACCCTAAGGGGCAGTTGTACTCTGTCCTTTAAGTTTGCTGTCAGTCGGAATCAACTCGATGGCAATGGGTTTGGTTTGGTTTTATATACAGTATTACTCAGTTATCAAAAAGTGATGACTGTCAAGCTGTAGTATTACAAAATTTTATTAGATTATAATGCAAAATGAAAAAGCAGCATAGTTACACGTACTGCAAAATCATAGTTATGCAGGGTGACGACTATGAAAAAAGTGATAAATGCTAAATGGCTGACAGTGGTTGAGTTTACTCATTGAGATTTTGGTGATAGTTCTTTTTTCTTCGAAATGTTATATATAATTCATTTACTTTGCCTTTAAAAATAAATTCATCGTATGAATAAAAAAAAAGTAGATTCCATTTCAGTGGGTATCCATCTTAGACTCTTTCCTTCATGGGACTGGAATGAGAACAATTGCTAATGTGTGGCAAGACTGCTCTGAAGACACGAGAGTCTTTCTTAACTCTAGGGCAAGCATTGGTAAACTCTGACCCTTGGGCTAGAATGGTTTTAAATTTTTAAAACATTGTAGAAAAATAAAAAATGAGACAGAGACCCATATGTACCTTGCAAAGCCTTCAATATTTACTATTTAGCACTTTGCAGAAAAAGTTTGCTGACTCCTGCTATTGGTTGTGAGTTAGGACTTTTACTTATCTGTACCTTCCCCTTGTATTTCTGTGTGTGGGCTAGTGCCTTAGAAGAGTTTTGGTTGTGAATGGGCTAGGGCTAGAATTCCCTGATCCTATGGGTGGGAATCGACTTGACAGCAATGGGTTTTGGTATCCAGCGATAAGGAGGGAGTCCAGAGCACTAGAAGAGATAGTTGTCTAGAGAATGACATACAGGAAATGCCTGTGTTTGTGTGCACATGTGTGGGTACACATAAAGCACATGTGCAAATGAAGCCTCAATACCTACCATGTTTCCATGTATTCTGA